CCCCATACCCGTACCGCGCACTTGTCTTAGACGCATGCACATACCGTGAAAACGGTGCACGCGCAGCATGTGTTAACTTAGGCACGCGCGCGCCGCCATGCACTTACCATGCGTAATTAAAATTACCAGCGCACATTTGCACAATGCAGTTATACCGTATACTCAACGTGCGGTTGCGGAGAAAAAAATAACCACTCACTTTTCCCACGCAGTGTCCACGCCCGCATTACTTTCGGTAACCCAATCCCCCAAGCGAAATTGCAATACCAACGTGCGCATACGATATGCATACTTCCAATCATACACGCTCACATGTCACATGTGCCCGTACATTGACGTGCACGCGTTTCAACGCGCCATTCCTCTCCCCCCCCCCTCCGCCGAACGGCCTTACAGTGTCCCTGGGTAGGGGCCCCCTGATGTCAAGATGGTTGCCGTCGTCCTTGGCGGCGCGGGGGTTCCTCGCCCTCTGGGGCCCCTGCCCCCCGCCCCCTGGGGCCCCCGACGGCGACGACGACGACGACGACAGCGACAGCGACGGCGACAACGGTGGCGACGACGACGACGACAGCGCCCTCACTCATGTCCGCAATTACGGGGAGCTACGCATTTAACCACTTGCACGTATATACGCGACGCCCTCACACATACGAATACGCAATACTAGGTATCTATATATATACATATATACTTACACATCTGTATACGGGAAGAACTCCAAGAAGCAAGCCTATCAGGATAAGCGGTGAGATACCCTCCCTCCGACCATCCATTCCGATCTCCATTCCTTCTCCAATTGGGCGGGGGCGGTTTCACGAGATGGACTGCCTGTCGGTCGCATTCCAGCCGTCCACTTCCAAGCGGCGCACGATCTGCTGGACACACACCTTGTTGAACGGGCTCCTCTTGGCGAACGCCTCGGAACCCTGGAACGGGGCGTCGTCACGCACCTTGCAATGCAAACGGTAATCCTCCCTGAGCTGATCTATGAACCGTGCCTGCGTCGCGGGGTCGGGGTCCAGCAAGAGGACCTGCTGCTTGGGGTAGCCGTGGGTCATGGGGAGGCCCCTCCGAGCCAACTCAACCACCAAGTTGCTGACGAGATCAAATAAAAGACGAGAATAATCATCCGATGCAATAACGCGGGGATGGTCCGCACATAATGAGCTCCTATTCCATGCAACCTCAATTCCACAATGGGCGTAAGAAGCACGATGCAGAAGTTGCCGCATCGACAGCTGCTCAGGCTTGTACATGTCCCCGCGTAGCTGGCTCAATTCCCAGGGGATCGTTGCCTCTGCGCTCCGAAGGGCCTTGTTCTGCCTGGGGTGGCAGAGGCGGAGGCAGAGGGCGAGGGGTCAAGGGAAGGAGGGGGGCGATGAGGACGAGGTGGGCGACGAGGATGAGGAGGAGGGCCAACAGAAGGATGAGGAAGGGGGGTGAGGAGGACGAGGAGGAGTACGAGGGGGAGGAGTACGAGAAGGAGGAGGGCGAGGAGGAGGGGGGTGGGTGCGAGAGAAGGCAGGCGAGGACCAGGAGGCGGGGGAGGATGGAAAGGAGGAGGAAGAAGCTAGCCGAATGCCAGACATATTCAGTCAATCCCGAATTACTTGGAATGGTATGAAGCAACTGGATGAAGTACGTGAACTATGCATTTCTGGCGATAAAAATTCTCCATACTACCATATAGATAAGCTGCACGGTCTAGTTGGTTGCGGCAGCTCTCGTTCCACGGCGCTGATGATGCTTTCTTCGCTTGCTCGAGAGCCTTCTTCGCATGGTCCTCGATGTCAGGATCTGGGCCGCAGGGAGCAGTCATCTGGCGGTTCGTGCCAGGGAACCCCAAAGAGAGAGCCGCGGCATTATATATATACGCCTTCTGGGCATATCCGACACCGTGCCTATGGCACGTTGAGGCGTGAAGCTGCTGAGATCTGTAATATGTACGACATGGTTCCTATAATCTTCCAGGAAGCCTGAGGGGCCCCACGGAAGAGATGCCCCAAGGAAGTGCGGCGCCCAGAGGGGGGCCAAGGAAGCCTTGTGGAAGCCTCTAGGAGTGCATTGTTTTGGGGCTATAGTTGGAGCCCCTTGGAAGCCTGTTGGGCCGTCTTGGGCAGTCGGGAGCTCGAACTTTAACTCAGAAAAAACAGGAGGCAGCAACAAAGACACTGACGCGCATACCAGGCACGGTCGCGGGACTTGCCGCAGGCAGCTGGCACAGTGTGAGCGTCCGCTTTGCAACAACAAGCGGCTGTTGATATTTGCCTAAATTCACCCTTTCCCCCTTCACGTTCAAGAGGGGGGACGTCATGAGATCAGCATACAGCTTAGTATCCTCCGCCTTGTCGGCAGGGTCCACCTGGGGCCCACAAAAGCCCTCCCCCGCGGGCCCGTGGCGTTCCAATCCCCCCTGCCCTCATCCCCCCGCATCCCCTCCCCTTGGGATGGGAGCCCATCGGCCCATCCCCATCCACAGCGCGATCGCTGTAGAAGGGGGGCGGGAGCGTCGTTTCAATCGCCCACGGGGACCCCATCTGTAGCTTCATGTAGGGGGAGTAGAGGTGCCAAATCGCATCCGTTTCTAGTGTAACTGATTGCCTGTGAGCCTGCACAGCCTCTCTCACTTGCTGAAGTCGCGGAGGGGAGAGCGTGCTTCCGTATGCCAGATTTTGTGCACATACCATGACAACTTGAAAACGCCATAAACCACTCTGCCTGAGAGGAGCTCAACGGAGTCATCACAGAACTGTATTGGGCGGTGGTAGATCGGAGGCCCTCCTCCACCCCCATCGCCTTGTCTCTCCCCCTCCACCTCCCTGCCCCCCTCTTCCCCTTTCCTCGCCTCCCTCACCCCGCTATCCCCCCATCCTCCCTCCCCCCATGCCTCACCCCTCTCCTGCGACCCACCATTTCGTGACCCGAGTGCCGCAATGCTGCTTTGGTCGTATTGTTCAAAGAATGTGAAATATCATAATCCACATGCAGAGACAACGATTTCTCATATGATGGATAATGGTCAAGGCACGTCATGTCGGGTCCTTGGTCGGTGGCAAGGTTCAGCACGGGCCACAGGTAGGGGTCGCCAGCCAACTGCCCGAGGTCGTCTCGAGGCACAACATACTTGCTCAGCTGGCAGCCTGCACTGCCGACCAACATATTGTTGAGAGCCATTACAGTCTGATAGGTTTTTACTCGCTTGCGTTTTTTCATGGCCCCTGCACCAGGAACCCCACTGCCGATCTCCCCCAACTTCCTCTTGGCGACTGTCCTGCTGGGAGGGGGCGCCGAACGCGGACCGGGGAGGGCCCGCGGGGGCCCATCTGGGAGCCGTCTCGGGGCCCTTTTGGGCCCCTCTGAGGCGTCTAGGAAGGGCCCGAGAGAGCCCGAGAGGGCCCCAAGGGCCCAAAGGGCCTGTCCAGGCCCCCCCTTGGGGCTCCAATGGTGGACCCAGAGGGCCCCTTGAGGGCCCTGAGAGAGCGGGGGGCGGGGGCGGAGGGCCCGAGAGAGCCCGAGAGGGCCCCAAGGGCCCAAAGGGCCCTGTCCAGGTCCCCCCTTGGGGCTCCAATGGTGGACCCAGAGGGCCCCTTGAGGACCTTGAGAGAGCGGGGGGCGGGGGTGGAGGCAGAGGTTGAGGGGG